GCAAGCCTTGGAAGATCTGCCTTGGGAGTGGGTAGAGGATCTTGGGGAAGGGGTTTAGGAGCACTCTCTGCATGCCATGAGCTTTAATGCCACAGCCACAGACCTACACAAGAAAGGAGGGGACAGCTGGGTCTGCAAAGACTCCCCAGAGGCCTCTGAGAGCCTGAGGGACGGGTAGAGAGCCCAGTGAGGTTGGAAGTCCACTTCCACTGCCGACTAGATGCGTAGCTCTGGGCAATTATTCCAACACATTTGCCAATAATTGGCAAATATTCCAATTATTCCAACACTCTGGGCAATTATTCCAACACCCCAGTCCTCACTTACTCCAGCAGTAAAATGGGTTGGGATGCAATAGACATGGCTATCAGCACACTGGCCATTAGAATCATCGGAGGCGCCTTAAAGTCACCCATGCTCAGCCCCACACCGAGGGAGTTTAACTGAACTGGTTCAGTGTGAGGTCCAGATATGAGTTTGGATGTAAAGCTCTCCAGGCAATTCTAAGGTAAAGCCAAGCTGGCAAACCCAAGAAAAACTTCAAGCATGCGTGCCTCTCCCAGCCATTCCTAGCACTTTCCCGCTACTCCCAGCCTGGCTTCAGAACTGCTTTCAACACAGTGCTCTGCTGGTCACCAGCAGTGGGTTCAAGTTGGTCTGCATTGTGCAACCAGCTCACCCTCCCTGCATGAGATGATAGCTTAGGGGATCCTTTGCCTCCAAAACCCATGGCTCTTGGTTCTCCACAAGGACTCATTTTCTATAAGAAGTTAAATTCTCAACTACATTTCAGAGGTGTGTCTTCAGCTTCTTCTGAGACTGGTCATCTCTATACTTGGAAATCATCTTAAAAAGAACAGCAGAAAAATAAAAAATTGTGACTGGAAATGTCAGTGATCCAGATTCCAGCATGGATGATAAGTTCACACTGTGCTGAATGCTTTGCAGGATGATCTTGCTTATTCCTTACCATTGATTGGCTTCTCCTCACAAGCAATGTGTTTCTCAACCGTGACTCAAAGGAAGATGGAAGAGTTTGCATCAGGCTCCCTGGAGGTGGCTGTGAGATTAATCCTGTCCCCTCTGCACCCTGCCCAGCCTGGCAGTCCATATCCTGGCAGGGGAAGTAGAGCTCTGATGGGGTCCTGGCCGCGCCCATGCACAGCTGGGGTTCAGATGGCCCCTGGTGCAGTGAATATAAATTCAGAGAAGCCCATCTGATGTGCCTGGGGGGACTTCCGGTCACCCTAAAGACTAAGCATCTGGTTGGACATTGTGGAAGCCATGTAGGGGTAGAGGGATTGGCAAGGTCAGGTGGCTCCAAGAGGGGTGTGATTGCAGGAGGACCCACCAGGAGGCTCTATTTGCCTTGCACTCCTCTCCCTGCTGCCTTGTTTCAGGGTCTGATGTCTCCTCCCTTCAGTCCTCCTGACCCCAAGGAGAAAGACACTGATTTGAGTGCTCAGGAAACATTCCCAGATAAACCCTGACTTTGAGCAGGGCCCTGATGGGAGAGAAAGGTGGAGGAGGAAGTTCTGTGCATCCTCTTAGAGTGGATGACATGGAGGTCCTGGCCACTGAAGGATCATATGAGCAGCTCAAGCTCTAGGAGGAGGGGGGTGGGGAGCAGGGCACCGGCACACACCTCGCACCCCAGACGTCCCTGACCACAGGCCAGCAAGGGCCAACAGAGAGAGAAGGCAGGCATGGGTGTCACCTGAAATGTTCTGCTAGTGAATAGAAACAGGTGCAATTAATTTTAATTACATGTTTTATTTAACTTTATCATTTCACTATGAATTCTATATAAAATTACGAGTTATTATTTTAAATGTTTTTGCAGAGAAAGAGGTCTCACTATGTTGCCCCAACTGGTTTCAAACTCCTGGCCTCAAGTAATCCTCCCACCTTGGCCTCCCAAAGCCCTGGGATGACAGATGTCAGCTGTTGAACCTGGCCAAAAATGTATTAATTTCATGTATAGAGTGTGTCATGCTAAGTCTCAGAGCTCATATGTTTTTAAACCTATAGCATATCTATTTGGACAGGCCATGTTTCAAGTGCCCTGTAGCCACCTGTTGCTGGTGGCCCCCATGCTGGACAGCACAGCTCTAGACCTGGCTCGTGCTGTCCCTTCTCCCTGGACAGTCGCCCTAAACAGCCAGGCCCACTTCACAAGGCTTGTCCGTGGAGCCCCAGCCGTGAGAGCTCATTTCTGCCCCAGAACCTGTGGAGCTTGGGCCTTTCGCATGACACGGTGCTCCATCTGGGTTAGAGGACTACAAGGTCAATGTCCCCAAGAGAGGGGAACTCCTGGGGTCACACCAACCCATGCCTCCGCTGCAGGGATTCTTGTATGCTCCGCAAAAAAGGTGCTCTAGAGACGCACGGAACTGGAATGTGGGTGTGTGTGCTCATTTTAGGGGGTGTTCTTAGGATGGCTTCTCCACACACAAGAGAAAGCCAAGGCAAGAGCAGCCAGGGTGGTGGCAGTGGGGCCCGGCGGGGTTTTGCCAGAGACATATTTTGTACTCATGAGGTTTCCTGGGCATTGCTTCTTTCCCAGGTAAGTTGCTGCTCATCTCCATGGAGGATGAACTGTTCTGTGAATGTTTTTAAAACCCGAGATGCATCAAATCCATTTGGAGGGAGCATATTGAGTTGTAATCTATCATCCATTTTACTGAAACATTACTTCCTGGGCACTGTGAGAGAGAACCCGGCTGTAATTTTTTTTTAAAATGGAAAATGTTGTTGGGAAATGAAATTAAGCCGGAGAAAAGTCCAATAGTTTGAAGTTGGAGCCGTGTCACCTATCCTCTGAGGGTTCCCATTCACCTCATTAACCCACGGCTGCCCGTCCTCTGCGACCTAAGAGGAGGGGCTCTGTGTGCCCTCCCTGTCTGATGCACCTTCCCTCACTGGGTCAGATCCCCTCTTGGTGCAGCAGCCAGTCCGGGGCAGGGGCACTGTGGATGGTGCTGTAAGTGCCAGAAGGAAGGAGAGTGAAGACCACAGATATCCTCAGCAGGCATGTGCCGCATGTCCATGGTCCCTGTCCTTAGATCCTCACAACACTGCACTCTCTTCTGGAGGCCCAAAGAGACCACATCACTGGCCCAAAGTCACACAGCAGGATGTGGGGGAGCTGGGGTTTGGGCTCTGGGGAGGCACACTCCAGAGTCATGCTGCTAAGTCCTCTCCTATGCCTCCCTTGGGGAGCAACAGAAATCCTTTCTCCTCTGTTGCCATGCCTAGGCTTTGTGTCTTGTGGCAATCCCTGAATGATGTAAGCTCTGGCTTCCTGGCTGGATGTGGTGGGTCTAGACTAGTGGTTCTCAACCAGGGGTGATTCTGGTCTCCAGGGAGCATTTGGTGATGTCTGAAGACATTTTTAGTTATCAAAATTTAGAGGGACCTGGGAAGGTACCCCTGCCTCACTAGGAGGTGCTACTGGCATCCAGTGGGTAGAGGTCAGGGATGCTGCTGAACACCCCATGATGCCCAGGACAGCCCTGGCATCAAAGAAGTATCTGGCATAGAATGTCAGTGGTGCTGAGGTCTAGTGAACAGTTCTAGAAAGAAGAACCAATAGTTCTGCTCCGGTCAGACCCATCCAGAGACCTGCAGACAGGTCTTGGTCCCACGTTCAAAGCGAGATACAGGCTAACTAGATCTCCCCTAGAGAAAGCAGCATGCCACAGGAGACAGGGGAAGGCACCACAGAGTTGTCTATCTGGGGAAAAGAAGAGGGGAGCTGCTCTCCAGGAAGTCAGGCCCAGTGTCTGCAATCCACAGAGGTTCCTGGGAGTAGAGGACAGCCTCCTGGATGGCAGAAAGAAGAACTGCGAGCAGCAGTAGAGGCCAGAGCAAATCATGCTTCAGCTCAGTGTAAGGACAAATGGGAGGAAACAGGGGCGAACTGTCCACAGGGCCCTCTCTTCACTGGGACGTGCAAGATGCTTAGTGATGGTGAGGCATGGGGGACCCCTCGTGGTTCCTGCAACTGAGGATGCTGGGGGCTGCTGGCAGCTGGGATCTGTTCTTTTCCTGGGTCTCTCTCTCTCTCTCTCTCTCTCTTTCCCTCTCTCTTTCACACACACACACACACACACACACACACACACACACACACACACACACCCTGCACAGATTCTGCTTCCCAGATTCAATGAAAGCTTCCATATCCACCTTCTAATAACCATCAAAGTTCCTTTTCTATTGTCAACTTCTCATCTAGTTAACCCTCTTTAGATGCAAAGTTGTGGAGTTTTTATTTTCCCTCCAGTGCACAAAACTGATTGGGTAATACATATTTTCCTTCTTTCTGGCTAACACATATGGGGAGTGCTGCAGTTAGAGCAAGCTGGCTTGAGAGACACACAGCCCAAGGCTAGTGTATTGCAACCTTGGCTGGCTCGAGGATCTGGAGGTATGGGAGAGTACACGAAAAGCCTCACAGCACCTGGCCTAACAGTGGAAGAGCCCCTGAGCCATAGGACAGGTATGCCCACCTGGCTGGACACAGAGCATGATACCTGCTCCTTGTGCAGGTGGCAGGTGACCTTGCTGTTGACCTGTGTGTTCAGGCTGGGGATGCCTGGGGGTTGGGCTGTCTTGCATTCAGTGGCAGTGAATCAGGATGTGGGGAGCTGGGGTTTGGGGAAGATGATGCTTCCCTCCGTCTTCTCTCACCTTCTCCTCTTTAGGGCCTCCTGGGGGTTGGAAGCCTGGGATAAAGGGTTTAATTATGTGATTTAGAAATTGAGTGGGAGAGAGTCTTTCACACCCTTTGGGTTCTGAGTTGAATCCAAAAGAATTCGAGGGTGGAGAGGAAAAGCGTGCAGCCTCCTGTTCACTAAATCTGGCAAGTTCACTCTTGTACCTCACAACACACCCTGCAGAAGAACATGTGACCAAGAGAGGCTGCCACTGCTAAAGGCCACTGGGCCCTGCCTTGCTCTTCAAAGTCCCACCACACACCTGCCAATCAGGCTTACCTGGTGATCACATAAGGTGCGAAGCACACAAGGAAGGTCCCTATGAAGGTGCTGATCTTCTTGGTGGCTCGCTGTCGCCTCCGCTTCTGCTCCTCCAGACAGCGTTCCCGCACACTGCAGGTGAGAGAGGAGAGAAGGTGAACTACAGGGCACCCTTGCTAGGTCAGGATGAGGCACTATTTACTAACACAGGCAGCAGTCTCTAGTGTGAGAACTTGACTATGGAGTCGGAAAGACCCAGGGTCAATTCTTGGCTGTAGATATTTTGGGCAAGCAGTATGACATTGCTAAGCCTCAAGGTCCTCGTGTGTAAAATAATAATATGCATCATATATTTTAGTATTTTAGTGTATTACACATAATGTAATAAGATGCTACAAGAGGCTGTTTTGAGAATTAAATGCATAAAGCACAGAGATGCATGGAATGCATTCCATGTGTAAAGCACACAAAGCCACCGGCACAGTGCTCAAGTCAGTACAAAGAAACATTAAACATTACCTCTTATTATTGCTGATATCATTCACTGGCCATCTGCTATGGGCTGGCTCCAGAGTGCCCCACTCTCTAAGTAGTATCTTGAATTATTGTCTTTACCACAATCAATCCTGGCAGATGTGTTTTATCTGCAAGGCAACTTTTTACCTGCCCTGGTTTACAGTGAAAACCGTGAGCTTGGCTAGGTGCGGTGGCTCACACCTGTAATTCCAGCACTTTGGGAGGCCGAGGCAGGCGGATCACCTGAGGTCAGGAGTTCGAGACCAGCCTGGCCAACACGGTGAAACCTCGTCTCTACCAAAAATACAAAAATTAGCAGGGCGTGGTGGTGGGCTCCTGTAATCCCAGCTACTTGGGAGGCTGAGACAGGGGAATTACTTGAACCCAGGAGGCAGATGTTGCAGTGAGCTGAGACTGCGTCATTGCACTTCAGCCTGGGCAAGAACAGCGAAAGTTTGTCGAAGAAGAAGAAGAAGAAGGAGAAGGAGAAGGAGAAGGAGAAGGAGAAGGAGAAGGAGAAGAAGAAGAAGAAGGAGGAGGAGGAGGAGAAGGAGGAGGAGGAAGAAGAAGAGGAGGAGAAGGAGGAGGAGGAGGAAGAAGAAGAAGAAGAAGAACAAGAAAGAAGGAAGAAGAAGAAGGAGGAGGAGGAGGAGAAAGCATGAGCTCTGTGAGGCCAAATCATTTGCTTACATGGAGGCAGGATTTGAACCCATGTGCGTGACTCAAATCTTTTTCACCTGGGGCAGCCTGGACTCCAGTCATACAGTTTGTGGCATGAGGCTTCCTTTCCTCCACGTCTTCAATCCTACTTCTTCCATCCACAGCCTCACCTCTGCTTGGAGCTACAGACACCACATGATGGGATCATTGAAGGAGGAGTCATTTGGTTCCTCCAGGGACCAAGCTTGAAGAATCTAAGACACTCCCAAGTCCCCAAGGAATCAGGGACATAGCTTCAAAGATGGAATTAAGAGCCACCTATGCCTCTAACTGTAACCCTGTTTCTGCTCCACTCTGCTGTGGGACCTTTCCAGAGGATCAAAAATGAACAGGAAAGAAGACTGTGGACACAGTTGCCCAGGAAGTGAAGATAACTTAGCAGTGCCAGGCCTGAGTTGCAGTGGTCTGGCTCCAAAAATAGGCCAGTCTGTTCAAAAAATGCAAGCAGTGGAGAGAATATTCATGAGCCAGGTTCATGTACATCGCTAATGCCAGGGCAGCCTTCCCTGCCTGCCAGGAGACTCATGATTTTGATACTTAATCAAAACTCCTCTTAACTATATTTCCTATCACAGATGGACAATTTCATATTAGTTTAGACTGAAGCCTCCTAAAATTCTTCAAAGACTTTTTCCCCCTGACTTCTGCATTTCCAGGAATTTAAAGAGTTAAGAACCGGAGTCGGGCTTGGTACAAACAGATTTTGTCCTGGCTGAAAATGTATTACTCATGACTAATATTACTAATTAATTTCTAGAAATTAATATTAATTAACCCACATTTCTTGAGTCTATAATATGTGTGCCATATTAGAAACTGTGATGGGAGATTATTCATTTATTTAAAACTCACAACATGTATGTGAGTGAGGGATTGATATCATCACGGTCCCCATTTTTCAGATGGGAAGATATAAACCATAGAAGAGTTAAGTAACTGGCCCAAGATCACACAGTTGGAAAATGGTGGCTGTAGGGTGACCAATTGTTCCAGTTGATCTGGTACTGTTCCTGAACAGTTTGCAGGAGACTATCCAAGTTTTAAAAGGGAAAGGCCTAGATCTGAGAATCCCTCCTCTACCTCAGGCAAACCAGGATGGTTGGTCACTCTAGGTGATGGCAGGACCTGAACCCAGACCTTCTGACTCTGGGGCCATGTGCACCACCTCCAAAACCACAGAGCTCCCCCACTGCAGAAGTTCTCTTCCTGCCCCATGCATTCGACAGAAACAGCTGTAACCAGAAACTGTGTCAAAGGTGTAGTAAGAATGAATCGAGTCAGGAGGTCTGAGGCGGAGATCTGATGCTCGTGCTGGCTCTGTGACCCTCTCTGGGCCTCCAGGGACCTGGTGGACATGGTTTCCTAACCTTAATGACACTGGGCCTGCCGTGGAGCACAAAGGGTGTCTACACAGTGGGTACTGTGCCTGGGGCTGACATCCACATGGGCCTGGTCATGCCTCTGCTCTGGGACAGACCAGCTAGATCCCACAGTCATGTATAGTATGAAAGGTCAGCTCATCCACGCACCCCAGATCACAGATGGGGAAACTGAGGCTCAAAAGAGAGAGTGATTTTTCCACTCAGGGAGTGCAGTTCATGTGGGGCTAGCACCCAGTCACTGACTCCTAGTCCGGTGCTCCTAGTCGGGAGCCACATCACTCCTTTCCTGAAATCTTTTGAAAGAAAATGATAAATCCATCTCCTCTGTTTGGGGCTCTCCTGCTTTCCAGGTGAGAACAGGGAGGTGGCAAGAGGTGAGCAAGGCACAGCAGCCCCCAGGCTCTGAGGGAAACATCACGGCCCTCTTGCTTCTTATTATGATTATTATTTAAGCACAGTATGAGAACAGCTCATCCGCTCCCAAAACAACATCACTTTGCGCTTGCTGTCATTTTTTTCCCCCTCCATAGCTTTGCAAAACTGAGCTCCTTGAAATCTTGCAGCCCTGTGAGCTGTTATTTTACTTATCTTCAGATGAGAACACTGAGGACTGGGAAGTTTACAACACGCCCAAGTTTACACAGCAAGTTCAGGACAGAGGCAGGCCTCCTCCCAGGTCTCCTGAGTGGTTCTGGGTTGACTCCCTGAGACCCCACTGCCTGCCATAGAATCACTGAGAGGTGGGCATTCTCAAACATCCCAGGGCCTGGTGGTGATACCCGGGGTCCTCAGACCTGCAGGCAGGATCTGTGGTGCAGAGGGTGTGAGACTCAAAGCTCTCCCAAGGCAACCCAGTCAGGTACATTCAGCCAGAGTGCGAGCATGTGTGTCGGTGTGGCTGAGTGGGGGAGAGGGGAGGTCCCGAGGCTGTGACACAACAGTTTCCTTGAGACCAAAGGAGACAGGCCCTCCAGCATTGTGACATGTGGGGTTGAAGAGATGTTCCCCAGTGGCTCCAGTCCTAGGGCAGAGGGGATGGCACCTTTCGGGAATATCTGAAAAGTCAATCAACGAGGTGATCTCAGCTAAAACCTTCCATCCACAGACACCTCCCTGCTCTCCACAAGAGGCCTGGGTCCTGAAAGATCCCTAGACCACTGGAGTCCAGCTAGAGCCCACGCTCTGAGTATTTGGGGAGTGGCTCAGATTGGTTTTTCTGGCTTTTAAGGCAAGGGAACAAGCTGACTAACGGAGGGCAAGAGCCCTGAGTTTGGGGTCAGGACACCGGCATAAGCAGTCTGGCCCTCAAATCCAGCAAGAAGGACCCCTGCCCTGGGCCCTGCACATTAAGAGTCCCACATCCCTCCCCATATGATAAAGAGTTCATAGGGGTAAGTGGATGTGCCTACCCACAGCCCCCACCTTCTATTTCAAACCAAGCTCTAAATGCCTAAGACATGGAATTCTTTGCCCAAATGCCCTCATCCTGCCTGCAAGATGTGTGCGGGCATCTCCCCTGGTCCCATCCTCCTGAGGGTAGACTGTGCCACCTGTGTGCCCAGCTAGACGCCTGAGAGGTGGTATTTGTGAGCAACACACGTGCATGGAATGTGGGTGTGCAACCTGCAATGTGCACCTGTGCAAGGGAGGCCCCTCGTGGTACTGGGTAGAGCTGGGGTGGTAGGCAAGACAGGTGGGCCAGCTCGGCTCTCCCAGCACATATGAGGCTGATCCCCAAGGAGCCTGAGAATTCTAAATGTGAACCCAGCCTTGTCGGTCATTATAAAGGTATATTCACCAAGGCAGGAGGGCAGAACACGTTTCATGTAACAGTTTGTACATGAACGTCTAAGTCTATATGCACAGCTGGTAAGCCTCCATTTGCACTATTTGCTCCATCCATAACTCTTAGGGGCAGACCTGATTGTGAGTCTTAGCTTGAGACACTTTCTAGATTTGTTGAATTAGGAGAGTGCTTCTCTTCTCCTTGAAAATTGGGTCTCTCATTTTCTCATCTATAAAGTCTAGGGCACAGTGTAGTTTCTGTCTGCTGAGCCACAATTCTGACACCCTCTAGAGTCAGCTACTCAGCCAACATCTGCAGACTTTGCTCACAGGACACGGAGGACATGCTGGGGGACCCAGCAGAGCCTGGGGGAGCCTCACAGGAAGCTCCAGTTAGGTTTGGCACTGCTTCCCTTTTGAGACCTCATCATCAACATTCTGTTTCTGTTAAATCACTAAGCCAAGCCAGTGAGTCAGGGAAAAGCAAGGTCCCTGCAACCACGCCCTGGGGCCCACCTGCTCTGCCATGTCTGGGAGCACCAGGGAGAGGGGCTGCCTCTAACTAGTCCCCAGCTGTGGTTTGGGAGAAGTGAATGCTGCTCATTCAGGTGGAGCACCAGGTGTCTAACAAACATTAGAAACTCCAAACTTCTTCAGAAATGTAACTGAAGAAATCAACACAGAAAGGCAGGAGTAGGGAATGCTTCCCAGGGCCAGGGTCCCAGACTG